GTTGTTATGTGTTTAACGCTTCTCACCATGTCCGCGCTGTAAACAGCTTTTGGCTACTGGATCTATGGATAAAACGGTAAAACTTTGGGATCTTACAAACAACGAGCCTTCGTGTATTGCTATACACAAACCAAAAGCTGTAAGAACCCATCAACATAAATCGTATTGGCTCTCTTTAGTTTTCGGCTTCTTTTGTTTCTCTAACACAATTCCTCGTGATTCTTTCACAACAGGGAGCTGTATTCTCCATATCCTTCTCAGCAGACAACCCGTTCTTGCTCGCCATTGGTGGTTCAAAGGGAGAGCTACATGTGAGTAGAGGAGATTGATACAAGAAAAACTTATAATTGGAACAAATCATTTTACTTTAGGAAATTTAACATGATCTTGTTTTATGTTTTGCAGGTTTGGGATACACTATTGGATGCTACCGTCGCTCGCAGATTCGGGAGCAGTCAATCGTGAAAAGCCATAGAAGAATCACTTGTTTCTTTGAAACATTGATGGTTGTTGAATTTTTGCAGTTTCTTTATATCATTAGGCTTGTTTTACTTATGTCCCTGTGGTTTGTGAGAATCCCTGTGAGATTTGATGAATGCTTAAACTTAAAGATTGGCTTTTTCAACTTTAACTCTTCCTTTTTGCTTCTCGATGATTTTATATAAAATAATAAGCTCTTAAGATTATATTGTCACATGTTCACATTTATGTATTTGACTTATGCGTTGTGCTTAAAGATTATGTGATCGAGTTCAGAGTGTCATGAAAGATTAACTCAAGCTTACACTTTTGATTATAATTTAAACTTTTCATTCAAACTTATATTGCTACATGGCTTTTGTATGTTTTCTTATAAAATACAAGATTTCGTGCGATCGTTGACTGAATTATTGAGAAAATGGAATATATTAAAGAGGAATTTTCCAAAATACAGCAATTTGAAATTTTGTTTTTTAAAAAGTTTTAATTACGGATTTATTAGTATAGTGGTTTAAAAAGTTTTAGTATAGTGATAATGATTCATACAAGTTAGAGACCATATATATACTTAAAATTGATTTTTGAAGAGCACAAATAGTAAATTTGTGGAACCGTTATTAGATTATATAAGTTGTAAATAACGACTTTTACGACAGTAGGTAACTAATTTCAAGTTTCAGCACAGACAACAACAGTAACGTCCAGTAAGTAAAGTCTTTGTCTGCCACAAAAACATATGAAATCTTAACTAACACTTTTATCTTTATGACTCTTAAGAGTCAAAAGCCTAAGATCGTAACAAGATCCCGATTTAGTATTGTTTATAACTTTAGTTTTATTCGTGTCATTTAAAGTAGGGCCCTTTAAAGTAAG